TCCTCACATCAAAATTTTCTACCTTTATTGTAGTTTACTGAACATTTCAGTAAAATGTTCTCTTTCTCACAATTTTATAAGCCCCTCAATAGGCACTCACTAAATATTTGTTATTTCTAGATTTGGGTCTCTACTTGGGCATCTAATAGGCACCTGAGAGCTACTATTTCTGAAACCTAGCTCAATTTCCTCCTACAGTCTTCCCCATTTCAGCAAATGACAAAGCCATTCTTCCACCTGCTTAGGCCTAAACCTCTCTTTCTTTTCACTCTTCATCCAATCCACAAGCAAATCCTGTCAACTCAACCTTTAAGATATATTCAAGTCCAGCCATTTCTCACCACCTCTACCATCACCTCTCTCCTGCATTCCCACAAAAGCCTGCTAACTGATCTCCTTGCTTCCACCATCAATCTTTATCCTTTTACACTGCTTTATTTTCTTCCCAGCACTTATCACCACCCAGTATATGTTATATAATTGTTCATCACCTCATTGTCTTTTTATAAATTCCAGTGTGTTTACGGGAAGGTAATCCACCATTAGAAAGGAGTAACAGGCCAGGCACAGTGGCTCATGCCTATAATCCCGGCACTTTGGGAAGCCAAAATGGGCTGATCACCTGAGGTCAGGAGTTCGAGGCCAGCCTGATCAACATGGTGAAACCCCGTCTCGACTAAAAATATGAAAATTAGGGCTGGGTGCAGTGGCTCAAGCCTGTAATCCCAGCACTTTGGGAGACCAAGGCAGGCAGATCACGAGTTCAGGAGATCATCACCATCCTGGCCAACATGGTGAAAACTTACCTCTACTAAAAATACAAAAATTAGCTGGGCATGGTGATACATGCCTGTAATCCCTGCTATGTGAAGGCTGAGGCAGGAGAATTGCTTGATCCTGGGAGGCAGAGGTTGCAGTGAGCCGAGATCACACCACTGCACTCCAGCCTGGCGACAGAGCGAGACTTCATCTCAAAAAAACAAAAAAAAAAAAAAGAAAATTAGCCAGGCAGGTGGTGGGCACCTGTAATTCCAGCTACTCAGGAGGCTGAGGCAGGAGAATCACTTGAACCAGGAAGCGGAGGTTGCAGTGGGCAGAGATTGTGCCACTGCACTCTAGCCAGAGCAAGAGGAAGACTGTCTCAAAAACAAAAAAACAAAATAAAACAAAACACACACATACACACACACACACACACACACACACACACACAAAGGAAGAACAACTTGACAGGCTCATTTGTCCAGAACTAAGATTATTCAAGATAGCCACAGATTCCCAAGTGGGTTTATTATGAATCAAACATTTTGCAAATATGCAACTTTTTGTTTTACTTTTTAAAATGTTAGACCTTCAGTGGTGATGGGACCTCATCAGTGGGAAGGGGTCTACCTGAAGTACCCTGTCTATAAATCCTGGGTCCCTGTAATGGCTGATTAAATGAAATATTTTATCAGTGGGGAGTGCCTACTGCCCTATGTCCCATGATAAGGTTGTTTGTTTTGAGGATGGAATCAGTGTGACACCAGAGGAAAGAAAAGGCTAGCTCTGATAACCATAGGGAAGAGGTAGGCACAGGAAGGGCCTGAGTCTTAAGAAAAGAAGACACAAAAGACTGGGCAGGGTGGCTCACGCCTGTAATCCCAACACTTTGGGAGGCTAAAGCAGGTGGATCACTTAAGGTCAGGAGTTCGAGACCAGCCTGGTCAATATGATGAAACCCTGTCTCTACTAAAAATACAAAAATTAGCCAGGTGTGGTGGTGCATGCCTGTAATCCCAGCTACTCAGGAGGCTAAGGTAGGATAATTGCTTGAACCCAGGAAGCGGAGGTTGTAGTGAGCTGGGATCACATCACTGCATTCCAGCCTCCAGCCTGGGTGACACAGCAAGACTGTCTCAAAAAAAAAAAAAAAAAAAAAAAAAAGAGAGAGAGAGAGAGAAAGAAATGATACTGGCCAGGCACTGTAGCTTGCACCTATAATCCCAGGTATGAGGCCGAGGCAGGTGGATCATTTGAGACTAGGAGTTCAATACCAGCTGGGCAACATGGCCACACCCCCATATCACTACAAAAAATTAAATTAAATTAAAATTAAAATTAGCTGGGCATGGTGGCACATGCCTGTAGTCCCAGCTACTCAAGAGGCTGAGGTGGGAGGATTGCTTGAGACTGGGAGGTTGAGGCTGCAGTGAGTTAGGATTGCACCACTGCACTCCAGGATGAGTGACACAGCAAAACCCTGTCTTCAAAAAGAAAAAAAAATAAAAAATAAAAAAATAAAAAAATAAAAAGAAAATACAACTCTGTGAACAAACTTAAATGCCAATGTACTGTATATTTTAAATGGGTAAATTGTATGGCATGTGAATTACATCTCAATAAAGCTGCTACATTTTTTAAAAGGTAGAAAAAGAACTAGAGGTAGCTGGGATTATACAAGACTATAAAACTGACTGGGACAAGAAGAAACCAGGCATAGACAGCAAACGCAGTTTACACAGAGCTGAGGATTTTGACAAAAACTGATATTTTGTAAACTGTACCCCTTTTACCTTTCCTTATTTGCAAAGAGATCTCAGCAATAACCCTGCGCCATACTTTGTTAGAAGGAAACAGGACCTAGAGATTTGAGAAGAAGGGGGACAGGACTTCTCTTGTTCACACACCATACTGGTGTGTTCCTCCCAGTGAACTCTGCAAATGCATCATCTCTTGGTAGTGGGGACCCCTGAATTTAAGCAAGAAGCCAGCAGCCTCAGACCTGCTGCAAACCAAGCCTCAACTCCCGAGGCAAAGGACCCTAGAAAACAGAAACAAAGTGGCCATTCCACAAGATCACTCTTTCTCCACTTCTGGTACCTCTGTGTTTGGTGGCTTTGAGGGTGCCACCAGTCTCATCTACCACAGACAACCTACAGTTCCAAAGCTTCCTAAACTGACAGTCTGGAGGGGCACAAGGAGCATGCTATTACTCTGAGAGGCATCTCCATGGTTGCCTGAGTTTAGGAGCTGGTGAGTCAAAGGGCTGATAACATTTCCCTCCCAGGTGCTCTGTTCTCAGTCCCCTTTTCTTACACACACACAGCCATACCCCCTCTTCTCTTTCTCATCCTCTCTCTCCCTATTCCTTCTTCCATGGTACACTACACTTTCTCTATATATATTCTATTCCCCCACCCCTTCTCTCTTTCTCCCCTCCACCCCCCACCACTGCCTCTCCAGCTCCCACTCTCTCTCTCATGTCTCTCTGCCTCCCCAGCTCCTGCTCTCTCCCTCATGCCTCTCTTCCTCCCTCTTCTCTCCTTTCCCTCTCAACACAGATCTGGGGGTTCTCTTTCACCATGACTGTTCAGACATGAAGGAAGCCAGCTTTCAGCACAAAAGTAGGGCCCCAGCCAAAGCAGCCTTTCACCAACAACCCAGCACAGCAACAGATCCAGTATCCAGGCATTCTGTATGTGCCTACTGTACATCCCTGGTGATCCAAGGGAATGATAGGGAGTAACATGTCCCTATGTACCTTTCAATGATCAGACAAATGGACTATTAAGAGCCTCCACATAGTGAAATGTCTACAGATAAAATAATGTGACATTTTGGAATTGGCCTCAAAATAACACAGGGCAAGAAAAAGAGAGCAAGGAGGAAATACATAAATGAAACAAGATGAACCACATAGCCAGGCATGGTGGCATGTGCCTGTAGTTCCACCTACTTGGGAGGCCGATGTGGGAGGATTGCTTGGGCCCAGGAGGTAAAGGCTGCAGTGAGCCTTGATCGCGCCGCTGCACTCCAGATTGGGTGACAAGAGTGAGACATTGTCTCAAAAAAAGAAATAAAATAAAATAAAAAAACAAAAAAAAATTGACCATGAATTGATAACTTGATAACTATTGAATCTGAGTGAGTACAGAGGTTTATCATATTATTTTTTTCTATATTTGTACATTTCAGCACAACAGAGACCCACCCTTTGGCTAGTAGATTCTATGGGTCCAACTAAGATACACCAAGATCACACACTCATCAGGAAGGCTATTATTTAAAAACAAAACAAGGCCAGGCACAGTGGCTCACACCGGTAAATCTCAGCATTTTGGGAGGCTGAGGCAGGAGAATCACTTGAACCTGGGAGGCAGAAGTTGCAGTGAACCAAGATCGCACCACTGCACTCCAGCCTGGCAACAGAGCAAGACTCCATCCCAAAAATAAAATAAAATAATAATAACAAGTGCCAGTGAGGATGTGGAGAAATCAGATTCCTTGTGCAACACTGGTGGGAATGCAAAATGGTGAAGCTGCTACAGAAAGCAGTTGGCAGTTCCTTAAAAAATTAAACAAAATTACCATATGATCCAGCAATTCCACTTCCGGGTATTTACGCAGAAGAATCAAAAGCAGGGGACACAAGGTACTTGCACACCCATGTTCACAGCAGCATTATTCATAACACCCAAAGGTGGAAGCAACCCAAGTATCTATCAACAGATGAAAGGATAAACAAAATGTGGTATATACATGCGATGGAATATCACTCAGCTGTAAAAAGGAAGGTAATTCTGACACACGCTACAACATGCACACGAAGGAAACTTTTGACATTATCCTAGGTGAAATAAGCCAGATATAAAGGACAAATATCGCATGATTCCACTTACATGAGGTCCCTAGAGGAGGCAAATTCATAGAGACAAGAAGTAGAAGTGTGGTTGCCAGGGGTTAGCGGGAGCAAGAGAGGGCATTACTGTTTAATAGGTAAAAGTTTCAGTATAAGATGACGTCAGATTCTGGAGATGGACAGTGGTGATGCTTGCACAATTGTAAATGCATTTAATACCGCTGAGCTACACTTAAAAATGATAACTCCTGTTATATGCATTTTATCATCAAAAACAAAACAAAACAAAAAAAAAACCACAAAATCCAGGGAACAAAAAAATCTCATGTCCAAATTCTTGGCTTTTCAAGGCCAGCTCAGGTCAACCTAGACATCATACCTTAGAGAGGATCTCAAAACAAGGGTGTGGCGAGCGTTGCTAGGGGAGCAGAGCTGCGGAGAAAGGAAAAACTTCTACCTAGGCACATGGTCTAGAGTCCAAACACCACCTAGGAAAGAAGAAAAACAAATGTTTTTTTAAGTGGGTCTGAAGGTAAATGTTAGAGGAAGGAAAGATAGTTTAAAAAACTAATAATAATAATCCAAGTGTAAGTAAGACCCTGAGAAAAATTCCCAAACATAAATTCAAGCAGGCCGCAAATGCAGTCAAAGACAAAACTTTTCCCAGCTCCACGTCTGCTGCCCTCCCGCTATTATAGGCTGGTGGTTCAGAGCACAGACTCTATTGGGTTCAAATCCTAGTTCTACTCCTTACTAGCTGTGTGACCTAGGGCAACATCCTTCACCTCTGTCTGTTTTCCACATGTAAAATGGGCTATTACAGGGATCAAATGAGTTAATATTTATAAAGCTCTTACAACACTGCCTTTCACATGGCAAATACATGTTTGCTGAGTATTATGCCACCAACCTCAGTGGCCAGCAAGCTTTCCCTCCTAAGTTTTCAGAGTGCCCCAGAGATTGCCAGCCAGAAGCATGGAGAGAAGCCAGAAAAACAAGGGAAGTAAAGCTGGGCTTAGTTTACCCCTCCAAACAACTCCTCCTCCAGTGCCTGCTGAAGCTGAAGAAGCAAAGGGCCAAGCAGGGGCCAGTGGGGCAGGTGAGCTGCAGAAATCATGGCAGGAGCAGATGGCAGTGTAGGAAGAGGTCAGCACCGAGCAGGTGACGAGAATGAGACACGAAATGGGGAAAGCTGACAGAACCCTTTTTTAAAAAAACTAGGTGGTCCTTAACTGTAGCCGAACATGAGAATCACCTTGGGAACTTTGGAAGCTACTAATACTTGGTCACTATACCCCTAAAATTCAGATTTCATGGACTAGTGTTGAGAAACACCGGTTAACAGCCCACTACATCTACCCACAAATGACCTAATAAAAGGACCCATCCCCTGAATTTCTTGTTCTGCCCATTGTCACTCTAATCCTACATTCCCTCACTTGACTTCATTTTTGTCCGATTTTGACAGACCAACATTTAGCTTGGATTCTAAAGAGTAATACAGACAATATTAACATAAAAATGTAGAAGGGAAGGGAAAGAAATCAATTATCCCAATTCTATGGAAAGAAACTAGAGAAAACTTTTCTGAAGTTTTTCCTTTTCTTATTTGGACTTTCACATTTCAAAACTTAAACTAACAAGCAGACACTGTGCTGTCCAAATGAGGACAAAAGTTAGAGATCAGGGACCACCGGGTGTCTTAGGTCTGCCATCCAATAGTTAATAAATTGGGAGGTGCTCCAATGAGTGTACCTGGTTATTTACTTCAGATTAACCTTGGTTCCTCTGGCCACCAGCTTCCGTGGGTTATCCAGACAGTCTCTCTCATATGCGCAATCATGCAGTTTGGCTGAAGAGAGGTGCTAACAAACCTGAGCTTCAGGCTTCACTTCCAGGCTGGCTGCTTCTCCCTAATCACACACTCATGCTTGGATGTATAGGAATTTTACAGTGTCTATCATACTCTTCCTACTTCACAAGGAACTCACCAGTGAGTGAATAAGAATGGCACTTAGGGGGAGGGATAACATGGGGAGAAATGCCAGATATCGGTGATGGTGGGATGGAGGCAGCAAACCACATTGCCATGTATATACCTACGCAACAATCCTGCATGATCTGCACATGTACCCCAAAACCTAAAGCACAATAAAAATAAAGAAAGAAAGAATGGCACTCAGGCTCCTGCCTGCCTCCAAGAACCAAGCTGCCCTTGTACTTTGAACTCCGAACCAGCAGGCCAGCTTTCACATTTCAAATTTCCCAACACACTCATCTTCCCAAGGTGCTACTGGATAGGGCACAAATTTTCCTCCAATTTGGTATTGAGACATTCACTATAGCCCTGGCCATAATGATGACACACCTTACATAGAGTGTTGTAAGACCAAGATTAGACAATATTGTTCTAAAACACTGTTCTAGATTAGAGCTTCTTCTAACACTAGAAAGATTCTGGGCTATGAGAGCCAAAGAGATTCAGGAAACGATTAAATTTAAACCACTTACTCTACAAGCAAGTAAACTGAGGCCCAGAGAGGTAAGGTAATCAAATGAGAAAAGGTACATAAACTGAAGAGTTTTTATTACTGTGGAAGATTCCTTTTATTCCTGGAAAGGTCACAGGGCCCTTGGTTGCCCTTCCCATCAGAGTAGCTGAAGTCTCCTACTCACAGTTACCCATTCAAATCTCTCCACCTAATACAGGGGATAAGGCTTATTTAACCCTCAGACCAGTGCTTCTTAGCCCTGGAGCAATCCTAATACCTGAACCCAGCTCAGACCAATTAAACCAGAAATTCTATAAATGAAGCCACCATAGGATCCCCAAAACCCACACCCTTCCCCCATGGGTTCCTTAAACCCTCTCCAGCCTTAAGGGCTTTTGCACGTGTCCTTCTCTCCAGTCTGCTCTTTCCTCAGATATCTGCACGACTCACTCTCGCTTTCTTCGGACCTCTGCTCAAAGGCCATTTAATCAATGAGATTTCTCTGACTTCTCAATTGAAAATAGAAAATCTGCCCCCCACCAAACCCCTCATCCAACATCCCTGCTTTATTTTTTTTCTGTAATACTTTTCATTATCAGTTATATCTTACCTGTTATCTATAAATGCCTACATACCAGAATATGAGCTCCATAAGAGTAAGATTTGTGTTTATTTTCTTCCTTGCTATAGTCCCAGTGCCTAGAATAGTGCCTGGCACATAGCAGATCATCAGATGTATATTCTAAATGAACACATCAGGAACATAAATCTCAAAATATGACACACACCAAAAGATCATAAAGCAGCAGCCATTTGGTTGATTATAGAAAACACACTTCTCTACTGAGCTCATCTTGGCAAAACCCTTATTAAAAACAGGATAGAAGCCTAATAAAACAGAAACCATCCAGAAATAAGTATTTCTCGACAATCCATTCCAATGGGTTTGTTCATCAAAGACAATTTGTTCTGAGAAATGAACATACGGAAATAGAAAATGAAGTTGAAAGCCGGGCGCAGTGGCTCAAGCCTGTAATCCCAGCACTTTGGGAGGCTGAAGCGGGTGGATCACGAGGTCGAGAGATCGAGACCATCCTGGTCAACATGGTGAAACCCCGTCTCTACTAAAAATACAAAAAATTAGCTGGGCATGGTGGCGCTTGCCTGTAATCCCAGCTACTCAGGAGGCTGAGGCAGGAGAATTGCCTGAACCCAGGAGGCGGAGGTTGCGGTGAGCTGAGATCGCGCCATTGCACTCCAGCCTGGGTAACAAGAGCGAAACTCCGTCTCAAAAAAAAAAAAAAAAGAAGTTGAAAGGTGATGGATCAAATGGCTTTCAGATACCATCTTAGCCTATGTGCAGATTCAGAAGAAAGCCTGCGTGCACTGACAGCTACACTCAGGAAGAGTTTTCAGCAGACCAGAAAAAACAGGCTCCTCTCCTAGGATTACACTTTGCAAGGTGAAGGTGCAGTCTGGGATATGAACGCCTGCTTACCCCCAGATCCCTCAACCTGATGAACACCTTCAGCGACCTAAGGAGGACCTTTCCTTTTCCTTTCTCCTACTTATACCCCAACTGCTTCCTAAACTCATTGGAAACCACTGAGCAGCACTTTAAACTTTACCACATTGGGAGCACTGGAAGCCCCTGTCAAGGCAACCACACAGCAGCTTGGGGAGCATGCCACCATTAGTCTCACTGATGTCACCTATTCCATTCCATGTCTGCCAATCCCATCCTTGCTCTTTCCTTGCCCCCTCTGGTCTCTCCCTACTTGGTCATCCTGCATGTTTCTCTAAGACTAATCTTTCCCAAACACTTTTTTTTTTTTTTTTTTTTTTTTTTTTTTTGAGATGGAGTCTCATTCTGTTGCCTAGGCTGGAGTGCAGTGGCATGATCCTGGCTCACTGCAACCTCTGCCTCCCAGGTTCAAGCAATTCTTCTGCCTCAGCCTCCCAAGTAGCTGGGATTACAGGCACCTGCCACCATGCTCAGCTAATTTTTGTATTTTTAGTAGAGAGGGGGTATCACCATGTTGGACAGGCTGGTCTCAAACTCCTGGCCTCAGGTGATCCACCCGTCTTGGCCTCCCAAATGCTGGGATTACAAGTGTGAGCAACCACGCCCAGCCCAAACACCATTTTTATCAGGTCACTTACCCTCCTCAAAAACTCTTCCTGCGCTAGGCATGGTGGCTCATGCCTGTAACTCCAGCAATTTGGGAGGCCGAGGTCAGAAGTTTGAGACCAGCCTGGCCGACATGGCAAAACCCCATCTCTACTAAAAATACAAAAAAGGTGGCACATGCCTGTAATCCCAGCTACTTAGGAGGCTGGGGCAACAGAATTTGCTTGAACCTGGGAGGCGGAGGTTGCAGTGAGCCAAGATCACGCCATTGCACTCCTGCTTGGGCAAAGAGAGGGAAACTCCATCTCAAAAAACAACAACAACAACAACCACCACTCTTCCTGCAGCCTACTACATTGGTCCAACCCTTGGGCCAGGCTTTCAAAAACCTCCATAACGTAGGCCTAAGACTAGGGCTACTGTTTTCGTATTTCAGCAGCTGCCCCTCACTTGTCTTGCAGCACCAACTCACTGCCTCCCTGCTGAACAGCACTAGTAAGAGATGGGGCTCACCTCCATTCCTGCTGAGAGCATCCTCTTCATCCTCCTCTCCTCCACCCAACCACACTCCCTCTCTCCCACTCCAGCTGCTAGCTACACTGCCCTTTGCTACCCCATCTTCACACCACACACATACCTTAGATATGCAAGCATGCACTTTTATTCATTCATTCACCATTACTATGTTCCAGACCTTGTTCTAGTCACTATGGATACCACAGTAAACAGAACAGATTAAATTCCTGCCCATGTAGAGCTGATAATCTACTGGAAGGAGACAGACATACAGACGCAGATTCGTAAAAGTCATACTTAACTATCTTTCTCAACCAGGGCTTGTCATATGAAATCAGAAGAATGAATA